GAGATGAGATGAGATGAGATGAGATGAGATGAGATGAGATGAGATGAGATGAGATGAGATGAGAAGAGTCCATGCACCAGTGGACTGCAGTTTATTGGTCTTATCAACACCCACCTTTAACGAAATAGGGTAAATAGATCTCATATTACTGATTTACTGGTAGTCTCGTAACTCTACTCAAACCCAAAAATTTGTCTTCTCTTGTCTTGGTTCTAATCATAGTCACTTCTCTGCACTTTTAGCTCACTCATTCTCACTCGCATTGAAAACAAAAACGAAAAGTTGACTCAGCAACATAACCAGACGTGTGTCCGACCTTGTGCCATCGTAGTGATGGTTCTAACGTGTAATGAGAAAGGGGGAGAATTCGTCAGCAAAACCTGATGGCCGAGAACATACGCTACTTTTGCTGTCCTAATTACTTTGAGATATCATTGCTGTTTTCGTGCACAAATGAACACAAACAGGCGCATGCAAATACAGAGACAGATACATTTACAGGTTTCGAAGTTGACACATGACCGTGACTAACCAAATCACTTTATACTTGATCAAAGAGGCCAGGTTTAGAGTATTTATACCACATTTTAGGGATTTGCCGATAAGTTTTCTTGACTCGTTTGCTTAAATTTGGCAGTGACGATGATACCTTGCTCTGATGATGTTCATCTTGTGACGAATGAAAGCTTAGCAACTTATTACCAGAATTGAAGGAGATTGCTTCGGAAACAGCGTCAGCATGAATGCTCCAGTAAAGCCAATCGACAGCTGGTCAAAAGGTTTCCGCCGTCGTCTTCTGGTGGAACCGACCTTCGAATCTCTTCATCGTACACTTTCACTCGAACTGGAAGTAAGCTCAACAATTATGAAACAAAAGGTTCTTCGAAACCCAACTTCTGTTCCACTAAAGCCAATTGTCGCCTGGTCAAAAGAAATCTGCTGTTGTCTTCTGGTGGGATCGACTTATAAATCCTTTTAACCAACACTTTTACTCGAAGTAGAAGTAAAATCAAAACAATTATGAAATAAGATATTTCTCAGAACTCGACTTTTTTTCTTCGCCAGATTTTGAAATTGGGACATTGTTTTTTGGAGAGTCCAAATCCCGTCTGTCTTTCTTTGTCTCTTTGTGCATCGCTAATGCGTGTCGGTGTGCTGCGATGCAGCTTGTCTACTTGCCACTTTGTGCGAGGCTCTTGCGTGTCATTAATGATGTTGTTTTTCTGCTCTTCACCCCGACCAACCCCAAAACCACTTCAGCTGATTCGACATGACTCGTCTCCCCTCGCAACAGTCGCCAGGCGGGAGCCACGTTTTCTGCTGCCCGGCCAGTTGGGTCTGCCCTGTCCGCTGGGACCGCCGAAACTGCCGGAACCACCAGCGCCGCTGCTGCCTCGCGTCTCTTCCCCTCGGCGAAGGGGCTCCGTGGCGGTCAAGAGGCCGCCGATTGGTCGGTCGGGGGCTCGAGCCCGCCAGACGCAGGCCGGACGCCGGCCCGAGTCCAGCCCAGCCCCGATTGGTCAACTCGCCGATCAGATGCCTCTGCTCCGAGTTCCGCCTGTTCGTCAGGCCCAGCCACCCCAAAAAGACGATCGCGATTGGCTGGCGCAGGCCTGTCAGTTTTTCGTCTACCAGCCGCGACTGCCCAGTCCCGACGTGGGTCTCTTGAGGCACCGGGCCGTCTGGGAGGCCGTCGCCTCTGGAGCCCCCGGTCGGCTGATCCGGTTGCCTCTGCCCACCGATCCCGATCCGGGACTCGATCTCGGTCCCGGTCCCGGTCGCGGTTTCCTGTCCGGCGACGAGGTCGACGTGAGTCGCGGCCGGCCTCGCGCCAGGTCTCTGTCCAGCCACGCTGACACCGTTCTGTCGGACGGAGTGAGTCCCGCCGCCTCGTCACCGCTCGCCGCCAGCAAGTCGACCATCTCGCGCCCGATTCACGAGGCCGAAGTGAACTGTCAAGCGGCCGACCTCGTCGCCGGTCGTCCGGGGACGCCGGTTTGTCCGTGCCCGGTCGGACAGGCCGCGCCGACTCTGGAACAGGCCACGATGGCGGTGGAGCAGCGTGAAATCGGCATTCAGTTCGACGCCATCGACGGGGTCCAGTTGAAGCCGACCCTTTTTGGTGGATTTCGCATTTCAGAAGGTAGGCGAATTTGATCGCGTTGCTCGCACGCTTCTGTGCCGAGTCGCCCACTTTCCATGCGTTTCCGTTCAGTCGACTCGCTTGATCACAGCTCCTCATTGGGCCGATAGTCGGCGTGAATAGATACAGCTTGACGTGTTATGCTGTGGCAACTTCAGCAAAGTTGAAATCCGAAAGAATTTGGTGTTCACGTTGATGATGAGAATGATGATGATGATGATGATGTTGTTGTTTTTGTTGTTGTTGAGGATGGAAAGGCGCACAGGCTGGTTGTGAATTGTGTGCTTGTGCAGTCCTTTAAGCAGGTGAATGGGAAGTGATGCGAATCGGTTGATTTGCATGTGTAGATCAAGGCTAGTCGTGTATGCACGGCATAGAAAATTTGGTTACTGGAAGACTGTAATTCATATAAACTTGGCTTCTAAATTATCAGTAGGCCTTGAACAATAGCTGTACTCAGCCTTGCCCGCACAAGGTGGGAGAGGTTTGATAAATGCATTATCACACAATTTGTAAAAGGTGTCTTCATCCGTGGTGGACTGCAGTTTCCACCGCGCCTACGTCTAATCACCAGCTCCAGCGGTGTCGACATGTCGAGCCTATACGCTGAACCACCAGAATTCGAGTTCAAGTACCGCCAGGGGTGCTGACGAGACCAGTTGAGGTGAGGTCGAAACTAGAGTCAAGTCAATCGTTGATGGGACTAACTTTTGGGCAGCAGGAATGGGTGAAATGTATTTCCACGAATTGATTGCGACAAAAGCCCAATTAGCAGTCACTCTTCATCTTTTACAGGCTTGAGTGATCGGAACTCTAATTGGGAGAGGTTGTTTGACCTTGTTTTCGCAACTTGGTCATGTTGGTAGGAAGACTTAGAGAAACGCACCCAGTCCGGAGAACAGAGTAGGGCCATGGACGTGCTACATTCCTAGACGTTTCGCCGGCATTGCCGGTGAGTTTTGCCATTTGTAGCACCACACAACAACTCGTCAAAGGGACAAGTGAAGCCCATCCTTTAACCAAACGTGTGCTAAACAGTTGTGGTATCTCCCCTTCAGCCCTAGGCTATTCACATTTCCTATATCCTCCAATCACACCTTCATTATTACAATTTTTACCGTGTTTATTTGGATATAGTGTGGTGTGCTCCTTTGAGCGAGATAAAACCTTCATACGCCAACTGTCGTTCTCCCCCACCTTTCATCCTTGTGTCGTGAAGATGTTACCTCGCTCTGATGGTGTCCGTCATGTGACGGACGAAAGCTTAGCACCTTTTCACCGGAATCGAAGGAGATTGCCTCGGAAACAG